AACTCAGAGTAGGTGAGGGGTACCACCCTGTGAATCTGGCACTGGTAAGACAGGAATCCACTTTCTCCCCCTGGGCAAAACCTTGCTGCACAAAGATGATTCTGTTTGTTTTGTGGCTTGTAAGGTTAACCCTGCCACTGATACAGGAGAGCCTCCTGGTGCCAACCTTTCATGAGCACAACAGCAATCTTTGTGATACCATTGTGCTGATAGTTGCGCTAAATTAAATTTAAATATGTTCCATTCAAGAGGAAAAACGCTGAATTCATGTGAATGGGAACACGATAGGTCCACCTGTACTGCTGAGAACCCCCGGCCTCCCCAAAACAATACCACCTTCAATTGTTTCCGTGTTGTCATTTCTGGCGAAAAAGTTCCAAATGTCTCAGAACAGTGTTTCAAACACATTATGTGCTTTTAATCATTGCAATAATGGTGGATACACTTGGAAGCACAAAGCATTTTCTTTTTAGGGATAGTATGCTAGACAAGTGTTCTTTTGTGTCTGCCATTTGCAGGCAACGTTCGCCTACCAGCCATGAGTGCTGTCCTGTATTATAAGGGAGTCATTATTAATCACTAATTGCATCTCATGGAATGTAAGAACCAATAGCTCTGCCTAAGAGGCAGCCCTTGACAGATAAGATGTCTCCTTGTGCCGACAATCCCCCATTGCAATTGGTTGAGGACAGTCCTTCGGCTGGTGATTTCTGCCTAATATTCCTCCAAGAGCATCGCATTAATCAGCTATCCTGCTCGTGACTACACACTTCTTTTTCAGATCGCCTCGGAAAAAAACTACCTTTGAAATTCTTTCGGAAAGATTATAGCCCACAGCCAGCTCTGCTCTTGCAGTTGTCATTCTTCATACAGATTGAACAGTTTTTGCATTCACAGGGGGCTGATGAATGTGTTCAAATAATTTCCATAAAGCCAGTATAGAATTAATCTAAGAACTGTCTGAATCAAAAGGACACCAAGGCCCCATTAATTATGGTGGACTTGAGGAATTTCTAGAATTAATTACAGCTTTACCTGCAGTTAAATTAAGTTTCAATTTGTCCCATTAAACTTTAAACAAACAAGGTTTGGTTATGTAGTATGTCTTCTGCCTTATTTTCTAGAATGAAAATATGTGAACAGTTATAGCTCAGTTCATTTCAGACTTTTCAGTATAAAGCCCAAATAATGAACAGACCTCAAGTAATTTAAACGCTGTTTAGGTTTCATATCGGTCTGGACCTCATCCATGGAGAAGCCGATGAAGTTGGGCTTCAAAGTGGGTTCTTATGAACTGTAATCAAGTAGTCGTGATCGAATGGAGATGATGGGCTCATTGATTTTTCCATTGATATCAAATTGGTCTTGGGATTGCATGCCAAATACAGACTCAAGTGTAAATTAATCTTTACATGCCTATTGAATAAAACTAAATTTAGAAATAAAATAATGACAGGAAGGAATGTTAATGGCTTCACTCCGATGTGTAATTTAGCCTAAATGATAAAGACGTTTATGATTGATACAGCAGCAGGATGTTTGCGGTACTCATTAATATGCCATGAAACATAAAGATAAATCGGTTTGTAACTCATCAGTGTAAATCAGCTCAGCTTGAAAGAGATAAGGAATTTACCTGCAAGCTCTTATGGCATCCAGCCCATTTTTAAGGAAGCAGTCCTCTTGAGAGGAGAAAAAACCAGTGGTAAAGACTGTACCAATGCCATGAGCTGGCCAGCCTTCTTCACCCTCAAGAAAGAAAACCGATAATGCTTGTGTCAACAATGACTTGTAATTGAAAGCACTGTTAAATTGCTATAGATACAATATCTAGTTAAGATTTAGGGTTTAATACATGGCTAGACTCAAGCGGAGGAATTCACAGGCTCAAATCCTAAAGAGTGGAAAGGAGACATAAATTATTTGGGAAAATGCGAAAAGGAACAACCCTTTGATGTGGTAGAAATTAGTTGTTTGGCTGGTTTTGGCCATGTAGTAAGCATGCCATCGTTCTCTTTTATTCCTGATCGGGGCTTTATATTCACACATCAACGCAAGGTACAGGCCTTTCAAGCACAGGATTAGCACGATGGCGGAGCCCTCGTTAACTCTGACAAGGTCCTGAAAAGTTTTAGTCACAGAAAGGAATGCTAAAATGAGATCGATCCAGGAAGAAAGAGAAAGAATAGTACAAGAAAGATTGAAGTCTTAACTAAGCAGTGCCATTTGGTGTGCCCAAAAAGCCCAGAGAAGCCATTTGTGCAGTCATTAGACTTTGATCTCAGTTTGCTGGTCAGGCACGAGAGGTGTTTTTTTCTTCCTGAGAGAAGTGTGTGTATAGTAAAAACTGAGAGAGCTGATACTGGATGCCCCGCAGCCTAGCGGCATCGCTGTCAGAGCAAACCTGACAGATAAATCAACACGAGGCAGACGTGTGATAGTCACACAGGTTCTTCCAGAAAGAAACTTTATTGTTCAGACCACCCACTTCCACCCTTCAGACTTGCTTGTCAGTCTTGCCAACTAATGTTGAAATTAACAGCGTTGATGTGGAAGCTACGCTTCAGCTTTGCTTTTAAGATCTGTTAAGTAAATCACTCACTGCAGTGCGAGATGTCTTTCTGTTTTAACAGACTAGTGGGTAGGGTCCATATAATGGAAGGGACTCATGGTTAAGCATAATGCAAATCTTAAATTACCTTAGCTGGTTAAATGCATTTTTTGTAATTCTTTGTCAAGACAAGCTTTTGTTGAAGTAAAAACGTTTGATGGTGTTATTTGAAAAGGGTTTTTCCCCCCTTTCTTAATTGCTGCGGAAAATGCAATAATGTTTCATTGCAGCCACAAAGTGTGAATTTTGGTTTTAATTTTTTCTCTATTTATTTTGCCATCCTTCTTAAATTGTGTAAAGAAAATACATTTCCCCGCTTTATGATCACATTGAGAATAGGTGAATGAACAAATCTCTAAACGGTTTTGAAGCCTTTAAAAAGACATTGTTCCCTTTGTTAGACAGAGGGTGGATTAATTGCCCTGAATAACACGGTGGACGAAAGTAATTACACCAGGCCAGAATGGCTTCATTTTCAAAAGGAACTCATCAGTTCAATCCTGTATCAGCACCCTCCTTCTCTCACATGACCGCGAAAAAACATTTGTTCCCCTAACTACCAAACAGCTTATGAAAGCATTGTCCCCCAGGTATTAGGATGGCTACTGGTGTGCCTGTTGTATTCCTGACAACAGGGACTGGAAAGAGTGATGTCCCAGTCAAAAGTAGGTGGTGGAGAGACAGCTGGACAATTACGTCTGGGTGAACATTTAGGCCCAAGAACAGCTGTACAATGAGATAACTCCAGCTAAAGGCTCATACTGTGGGGCAGATAGATATTCAAAGGCCTATGCCTGGACAATCATGGCCCTCAATTAACTCACACAGAAATCTCCCAGTAAAAGAAATTATCAAAACAGTTGGAGTTTAGCTGCACAATAAAACCAGCCCCACAAAGGTCACAACCTAACATATTTAGAATAAAAGGCCAGGTTTTTGTTGTTGCTGAAAAGAAAAAAAAATCATCATCCCCTTTATCTGCTCCTGAAAGACAAGGCCAGAATTCTAATTAAAAAGGACATTTAATCTTTTATATCTGTAGCTAAATCAGTGGATAGGAATCTTGATTTTATATTGTGAAAAACATTTTAAGATAGGTTTAAAATGTAAAAACAAATAATTTGACCATCATTCATAGGATGAATCTGAACCTCTAGTTCTCTTGTTAACCCAAAGTTGTCCCTCACATAGTTTACATACATCATGAAGGTCATTAAACATGTGTCTTGCTATCACGGTAAGCTGTAAAATGACTCAATCAATCCTAATATATTAGATGTTGAGGATGTTTGAGAGGTTAGTTTCCAGATTGTGAAAAGGGGCTTTTTGGCTGGTTATCACAGATTGCTTGATCTTTTTTATATGAATGCAAAACGTAAATGTATGGAAATTATGTTATGCATAAGGAAGGTTTAACTGGGTTTTATTAAGGACCGAACATAGTTGGAAAAATATTACACAGACATTTTACATAGTGTTTGGTTTCCAAAAATGATCTGAATGTTTTTTTTTTCTTAAAAATCCCTGTCTGGCATTTTGGGTGCTAAACATAGCTTCTTAACAACCATCTTGTTTGACTGATAAGCCTTACACACCAGATTTGGTTATTTTCCAACCGTGTCTATATGCATTCTGCAGCTGATTTTGTCAGATCTTATTTGCGATTTTTCAGTTGAATTTTAAGGCTGAAACAGAAAACAAAGGGGCTTGTGTATTGTTGCCGAAAGGCAGCTTGAAAGTTGAACCTTTGGCACTTATGGTTACTCGAAAGAACTGGAGTCATAAATTTGTCATCCAGGTTACAGCTTTGAAACTAGGTACGGTCAGAGCGAGGGAGTGGAATGCACTGTTGAAAATTGTTTATAGCTCCCACATAAAAACAAAGAGACATATATATATACACACACACACAGTTGGTACATTAATTCTTGTAATGAATATTTTACAAAAAATGTTTTTTTTGTGCAAAAGAGAGATTGAACACCTTACTGTTTGTCTAAAAAAAAGTGCTGAGGGACATTTCTGATAAGGGTGTACAGCATTCCAGACGTATCATTGCTGGAGAAATTAGGGTCATAAAGAAAAGTTCAGCAATGCAATACCGTCTTATTCAAACATTCCTGATATGCCTATGGCTGGTGTTTGATTTTACAGATTTGCTGCTGAAAAATAATTGTCACAAGGAGCCCTTTTACAGGAATCTGGACGAGGCCATATAAAGAGAAAAGCAATATTTTGATCAGCGTGTTTGAAACATAAAGTGGTCATCCCACACACCATTCCATTTGCCTTTGCCATTTGCATGTTAAGACTTCTTAAACATGTTGCAACGTATTTGTTCAAGCTGTGAAAAAATAATAATTCTTTGTTTTGTTTTTTTCTCCTGAAGCTTGCAAAACTGGCTACTACAGAGCCCTTTCATCGGATGCATCGTGTTCCAAGTGTCCACTGCATAGCTACTCTGTCTGGGAAGGGTCTACCTCCTGCACCTGTGATAAAGGCTACTTCAGATCAGAGACGGACCCTGCTTCCATGCCTTGTACAAGTGAGTCACAAGCGTATGGGTGTCCAAATAGTAGTTAAAGTAGGTACTGGAGCTGCGTCAGCATGTGTAGGTTGCAAAGGAACAAGTAAAGGTTTATTCCAGGCTGAAAAGAGAAGAAAAGAAACACAACGTTTCGTCCGTGGAGTCTAAGAAGGCTCCACAGCCAAAACTTTGTGTTTCTTTTCTTCTCCTTTCAGCCTGGAATAAACCTTTACTTGTTGCCAAATAGTACTTCTGCTGTCATCGCCAGTCAGATTATTTTCATTTGGCTCTCCATTAGTTCAGAACAAAAATAGTTTAAGCAAATGAAGCTTGAATCTCTCTATAGCAGCAAATAAAGAACATTTTCTGATGAGCAGATTTGCTGTTACCCAAAGTTCAGCTAATTTCTCAGCAAATATGAATGCGAGAGATTTATGATTGCAATCAAAACATTTCCTGAAATTTTAAGATGATCCTGTTTACACAGAGGTTAAAGCCGAGAGCCCCTGTCATCCTTCTAAACTATAACAAACCCCATGGTGAAGATATGAAAGATTTAATTTATAGCTTGAAACACCTTGATGTTCGTGACAACTTAAAGTCCAGGCCTCAATAATCAGGTGTGTGTTCCTGCTCATTATCCCCTCTTTAACGGCTAAATTCTCATTCTTGGGTGCATTTAGTAATCAGTTAGTTTGACAGCACACTAATGAAGAAATAAAACACTGCATCAAGGATTCATTCCTTTGGTCAGAGAGAGACTCTGCTTCAGTGGGTTGAGAAATCAAGTTTTTATGCTGTGGAATTTTGAAACCAGACTGCACCACATGAGAGCTTTTGAAAGAAAAGAAGTGTTGAGTGTGTGAGGGAGGATTTCTGTGTCGCATTACGAACGATTCCTGAATTTTAATACAATCTTACTGTTGTTCTTAAGACTGAGTAATAATGATTGGAGTTGAGATGGAATTTGAGCTATATTTGTAACTGTGGTTATAAAAGTCATTTTCTTTCACATAACACACATAATAGTTCATTCCCCTGCATGGTTCCCACTGACGTCTGATTTGCATTGTTGGAAGGTTGACCTGCATGTGCCTTGTCTGCAACATGCACTTTCGAAAGTTTCCTTCCTCATCAGTGCAATGAGCTGTAATGACATCAGGGTTAATCATGCAAAAGGCTAGGGGACTCCCAGCTTCACTGCCAGGATATCACAAGAAGGAATCCAGGAGCTGATTTCCGAGCAGCTCTGTCCTTCGTGTGTTTCAAGGTCAAATATGAAAGTTGTCACCATAATTAAAAATGTGGTCGCCCACTGTTCTGATTTCGCTCAGGTCAACAATTAGAACACGATGAAAGAATAATTCTAGCAGCGCTTTTCTATGCCTTTCATTTCAATTGCCATTACATTTATTCCATGCTCCGTTAAGCCCCCCCTGCGCGATTTCCAGGTATTACAGTTGCTATTTAAAAATAAACTGAATGAATTAGGCAAGTTTAAATTGATAAAATAATTAATCCGCCTTTGCATTTAAGGATATACATATTAAAGGGGTCTTATTTGTTGAGGCTTTATTGTTTTGTATTAGTTATCCTAATGGTTCTTTCATATATCCATATGGATACTGCTTAAAATGAGTCTCTGCAGGTCATGAAGTAGTGAATTAATAAGTGTTCCAGTGCAACTCAAAGATTAATAACGGGTTTGACTGTAATAGCTGGACTCATGCAGGTCAGCTTCAAGGTCTGCTTTCGAACTAAGCACCTGAGAAGTGTCAGCAATTAGTGTCAAGAAAAACATACACATTTGTTAAAAATGCGAAAAGGGTGACCTTATTTTAGATTTATGGGCTCCCCAGTGCTTTGTTTACATGCTTACAAAAACCATCAGCACAGTTTCAAAAATGTGACAGTCATTGATCATATTGCTGTTTTTCCCTGGTCATCCTTCTGGTCTGGGGGCAGAAGTCAAGGTTTAGAAACTAGGGTATTGAAACTGGAATGTGGTGTCAAGACAGTGACCTAAACTTCATTAATATCTAAGTAAAAATAATTTATATTCCTAGCTGCCTTTTCCTTTATGTTTTTTCTTTGTTCAATTGTTAAATATAAAATTGTGTAGACTGACTGATAGAGGAGTTTCTTTTAATCCTGTATTTTGTCTGATTTATTTTGAAATACTATAATAAGTATTTTTACAATACTTAACATAAAATTAGAAACCCCATTCAAAGCTAACTGTTATTCAGTTTGGGACAGTCTGCATAAAGGCCATGCGATAGCTTCTTATTATGCATCGTGGGCTTAATGACACAACATAATTAATGTTTCAGGAAAGGAAATGAAGGCACATCCGCTGGTCATCTTGGTTCGCTCTTCCATTAGACGATTCTTTTTCTGGGTTCAGCTCTAAAACCAGAATTGAGTCTTTTCTGTGTGTCCCACATCCCTCACTCCCACCTGTCTGTGCTTCATTTTCCGCCTCACTGAGCTTTCGTTTTGACACTGCTACGCTCTGTCCCACATACTAATTACTGACTTTTGCTTCCTAAGAGAAGAGACATTGTTTGCCGACTTTTTTTTTTCCCTCCCCATGTGAACAGAGTGGACACACAGCTTGTCAATGTTTATTATAAAAGCTCCGTGCAACAAATAGAGGCTAAAAAAACTGAACTGCTGCCACAGTTAGTATGGATGTAAAGAATGCATTATGTGACCTACGGGTGTCCCTGTTGAGTTATTCCGTTGGCCATTTTCTACACAAATAATGTTTTTAAAGTGCTCTGCTCATGACAGCATGAAAAACAAGGCGAATATTGAACTAACATGGCTATCCCAATGTTCTTAGTATTGATATTAAAAACAGCATACTGCCGGTCCCATTTTCATAGTAGAAATAAATTGCGGGACTAGGGCTGCACAGTGACCCAGTTGTTAGCATAGCTATCTAGCAGCACTGGGGTGCTGGGTTCGATTCCTGTGCAGCTATCTGCATGAGTGTTAAATGTTCTCCCTGTGTTTGCATCAGTTTCCTCGTACTGTCCAAAGACATACTGGTAGGATAACTGGCTTCGGGGAAAGTTGGCCCTGGTGTGAGTGTGTGCGCAGGTCTGTGCGTCTGCCCTGCGATGGACTGGCGTCCTGTCCAGGGTGTACCCTGCTTTGTGCCCATTGCTTGCTGGGATGGGGTCTGGCTCCCACGTGACTCTGTATTGAATAAACAGGTTAGAAGATGGATGGCAGGCAATGACTGCCTATATCACAACATACTGTCTTAATCAGGTTTTGCTGCTCCTAAAATTCCAATCCTCTTTCTCCAGGGCCCCCTTCTGCTCCTCAAAACCTGATCTCCAATGTGAACGAGACCTCTGTTAATCTGGAATGGAGCTCCCCCCAGTACACAGGAGGCCGGCAGGACATCACCTACAACGTGGTGTGCAAACGCTGTGGCGCTGACCCCGCCAAGTGTCGGCCCTGTGGCAGTGGGCTCCACTTCACTCCCCAGCAGCTCAGCCTGAAGGGCACCAAGGTCTCCATCAACGACCTGCAGGCTCACACCAACTACACCTTTGAGATCTGGGCGGTGAATGGGGTGTCCAAGCAGAGCCCCAGTCAGGATCAAGCTGTGTCCGTTACTGTGACCACCAACCAAGCAGGTGAGCCCCGTCTGTGTGTGAGCCAGACTCCTTTCACATCGCAGATATTTCAAGCCATTGCTCGGTACGCCTAATTATTTTTCTTATTTCAACCCTGCGTAATTGCAGAATTCTAGAAGAATTCAAAACAGAGAGGTTTGAGGCGGCTGCATAAATACTTTGTGTAACTCTACCAAAGTATAATTGAGTTAAAAAGAAAAATATAATAGATTAGTATTGGAGCTTTTTGTTTTTTATTTATTTTTTCCTTGAGCACGGCACTCGGTTCCTTTCTAAGTTTTAGTTTGGATGTTCTTTTGGAGCAATTTGATATGGAGCACAGACCTTTTGAGATTTGATGATTATAAATAGTTGGTTTGGATACATAGATTTTAATAATAAATTAACTTAATCTCAAAAGATGTCTGTAATAAAAGTGATGAGGTTATCAAGAGTGAAATTGTTAGACTTCCATTTGTTATGTAACAGCCCAAGGCTTTTTCTTCCTTAGAGCTATTTTATTGGTGTAGAAGTTTTGTTGTACTTTTTAATGTAGCATTTAAAGTAGATCATAAGATCTTAATTTAGGTTTGAGAGAAGGAGTCGTCTGTATGGACTAAAGCAAAATCTGTTTTTTATAGGAAGTTTAAAATTTTAATTGCTGCTTGTTGGAGGCTGCTTGATGTAAGCACAGTCGAGTGATTTAACTAGTTCCAGAAGGCCTGTAGGAAAGCGTATGATGATATTAACTATTCCAATTGCAATCAGTGCTTAATTACCTAGGGTAGGCAGTGCAATCATAGATTTACAATCCCTAAGTTTGTTTAACAGTGACCTGTCATTTCCAGGATGGAGACAAGATCTTGAGCACACAGACTGTGGGCAGGAGTTTTCTAGCTGCTTTGCTCATTTTGCTTTGCCTGGGTCAACCTAATGCTTGTACTTCTACTGCAGTGAATAAAGGGAGGGAGCCCTTTGGAAGGAAAACAAGTACAATGCCAAATAAATAAAAGATAATTATGTCAGAGACCAGGGATTTGGCCAGAGACTTGTTCTGAGGTCTTTCCAATGCGTTCTCTTCCAAGTCTCTTCCATAATAAATCCCCTCTGAAACTGGAGCACAGTCCTGTTCCTTGCATGAAGCAGACCATCAAATGAGGCTAGGCTAGCAGGATGAAAGCACTTTAAACTAAATATATGGAAATCCTACATGGACAAATATACATGTAATGAAATATATATATTTACATTACCACACAATATGATTGTGCTATTAAAATCCTTATCATAATGGGGCAGTTTATGATCTCCCTTTACTTCATCATCATTTAAAAAACTCACATTGTTCTATTTTTGCCTCCTTTCCCAAAAACCTTGATCAGGGATAAGGTTACAGCTTCTGGGACACAGCAGAGCCTATTGAGGGACATTCTGAATTTCGCCATGCACAATCTGTTTCATAAATCACACATTCCCTGATGAACTCCCAGCCCATTAAAATTATGGTGAAGTGGGTTCTTGCTTTGAAATGCAACAGGCTGTAAATGTGTTTTTTGTTATGTTTATGAGCCGTAGCCTGGAGGTACAAGCTTTGCTTACAGTTTAAACAGCAAAGTTGCACACTTCCCTGAATGAAATTCCTTTCTCCAGCCAATTGCTGGAGACAAATCATACTGATTTGACAAATGTTTAGTTTTATGTAATTAGATAAAATCTCTATATGTTCTGAGATAAGAGCCCTTCTACTTAATTTCCTCTAAGAAAGTTGCTTGTTATTTTTTGATACTGTTCATAGTTCTTAGTAAGAGAAGCACAATGATAATGTAGTGCATACATTTTTGTTTATTTTGTGTATAAAAAAAGATGGCAAATTACCAGTTGATTAGGCGATAATGTAGAAAAATTTAAATCTTCAGTTTTTAGGGTACATTTCTGTGTTATATTAGAAACCTACAGCAGCACTTGAATCAGCTTTGGTATTGGTGAACACAGCCAAGCATTCATAGCTTTGAATATATCCCGTGCAATTACACCTCAGATCATTATGGGCAGCAGTCTGATTGATCCGTTATGAGTGACAGCTTTGATAATAGTCATTCTGTGTTGTATCTACATAATTGTAAATATACTGGTGATGTCTATAAAAGAAAATAAATCATCAGAACCCATGAAAAGATATCCAAAAATGTTTTTCTATCCTGTTTGTAAATGCACAATACAGTTCAAACAGGTGCTTACAGGAATCTTTTTAGATCTGTCAATCTGAACTGCAATCAAAGTTACTGATCTGAAACTCAAAAGTTATTAAACCCTTCCGCAAACCTCCCGAGATCATGTTTCGATAGTTTTTGTATTGTATTCTGGTCTTCAGTCCCTTGGCTACTTACCTCTCCAGTTAGAAAGAGACAGTTCAGATTCACAAAGGATAGACACCAAAGAGCGTGCCTTAGGCTTTGCTTCATCGCTCTCCTTGGGCTCTTTCCAACAGTCGAGAAAAATCCTAACTTGCTATTCTCTTGGGAGACATTCCAATGTGAAAAGTTTTATCAGATGGTAATTTGCTATCCGAACCAGCAGTAACACTGCTCGGGCAATGAGAAAGCACTTTCCAGTACCTACTGCATGAAAATAAAACACTCTTTTTTTAGAAAATAAATATAGCCGCATCTGTTGTTGACTTGCCTTTTCACTCACATTGCTCTTTTTTTTCAGTGAGTGGCCACATGTCATGGCAGTTGTTTACACAGAACAATTGCTGGATAGCATGTAATTTAGCTGGTTTCAATTTACCTGGGGTTAAAACTTGCTTGACGTGTCCTATGATTTTAACAAAGACAGATATGGGCTTGTATTCAAGACCACGTGCTGTAGTTTGTTAATTTCTGTACAGCTCAACACCACAGAAATACGTCTTCAGACTTTAATCTTCAAACTGCTCTTGTTCATTTAGCCTAGAATATTTTCACAGCCCTTGTAATCCACTCAGTACTGTGACCGTGGATGAAATTAGCAGCCTATCATAGAAGCTGTAATGAAAGCACAACTGCAGCGTTTGTCTGGTTTTTGAATAAGCGGAACAAAGCATTTAAAGAATCGAAGTTTCAAGTTTCTTTGCATCTCATAACTTGGGAGTATGCTTTGTAAGTGCAAATTTATGCAAGGCAGTGTTAGTCTTCTTGTATTTGGTTCTGGCCTCAGTAATAATGGTCAAAGCTTGAGGAGAGCAATTATTCAAATATTTATAGTCGTCAGTTTCTTTGTTTCCATTTTGTAATTTCAAGTATATAAGAATTCTGACTGCAATAAAAATCGAAACCATGGGGTGATATTTTAGCTTCTTAGAGAAAAACATCCAAACAGATTCCTCATTGCAAGTCATGCAGATTCTGTGATTATTACTTTTCAAAGAACTTACAGCCACAGTTTTAAATTGGTAAATATACAGTATGAGGGGATATCAAAACCTACAAAATCTTTAACCTTTCATGCTAGAATGAAACAAGATCAGAAAATAATTCTAATTTCTCCCTGATCATGATAAATGTGTAAATCACTGAAAAAGAAATCCCACATTATTTTGTCATCTGCAATCCCCTGGAGCTTCTCAATTTCATTTTGTTGCAGGATTTGTTATGACATGATTGATCTCAGGAACACAAATGGTGTGGTCTAATTGTTTAATAGAGCCGTAGCACATTAGACACTGGGATGACATAGCCTGACTAAATCTATTTACTGATGCACAAAAGTTGCTTCCTGGAACATGATCAATGAACATTTCATGTGAGTGAAGGCTACTTAAACCCAATCCCTCGTTATAAGCCGTAATTTGTTAGCATATTTCTGGAAGTATGTTGTTAAAAAATAATTAAATGATGCTTAAGTAAAAATGACGCATTAATCATCCACATCAGTCCTAACAAGGCCCAGTCATATTTCTAGCTGGCAGGCGGTCTTATTGTGTGAATAATATATTTTGTGAGGAAGGCAAAAATAAAGCTTTACAGATTTCTATTCAGAAAATAGAAATCTTTGTCCCAAAGCACTATGCATTAATGGATTTTCACATTTTATTTTCCAAAACATTTAGAATACCTTTATATAGCTGGGCTGTGAAAGTCATGTGTGTACCTTACCTGTCAAACTAGAGGAGCTGTAATTGAAACAGGCTTGTTTTCCTGTTTATCCGAAGGCCCTGATGTTAATCTCAAGGAAACGTTTGCTGCAGACTAGCATGTTTCTATTGGCAAAATCCTGAGGTATCTTTATATAAACGTAAAGAAAGGCTGGTATTAGATGAACTTTCTAGCATGCAAACTGAAACAAAACAGGCAGTGTTTAGGTTAAACAGAGTGCAGAGAGAGCAAGGAATGCAGAACCTAAAGTTTATATCAGAACACTAACATCTGACAAGCCCTGCTTTTATCAGGCTGTTTCTCAGCAAGTAGCTGATATTGTCCATGGATTCGCTGCATAAGTACAGGATTCTGTAATACTGTTATATACAACTGATTTTTTACAAACATCAGCTAAAACTAAGAAACATAAGAATTAAATAAACATAGGACAAAGGACCTGTAACCAAATATTTGTCAAAAAGAGGAGACAACTGCAGTGCAAATGAGGTCAGGTCTATAAAAAGATTCCTTTACTAATGATTTGAGAAACCAGCCTCCTAATTAGGTTTACCCTTGAGGTCTTGTGTTGCTCGTCACAGTTGTCACAGGTATATTGTCCGTTTTCTCTGGTACCTGTCCTACAAGCAGGGCAATAGAGCACTGACTCTGGTGTTTAGGACGAATAATCACCTAGAAGCAATCATCCAAAGAGCACAAGCAGTATACTCAAACAGAGAGTGGGAGAGAAAGTCCTGCCAGATGCCTTTGGTTCTCATTGTTTTGGAACATATTTCACTCATGGTTGCCTCTAATTGCGCTCCGTTTATTTCCTGTTGGTATTTGCTTGAGTTGACTTAATGGAGCTCATGTCACAGTCTGTCTACTGGGCCTGGGCCTGTGAAAACTATTCTGACTCAGAGTCTGTTGCATTGAGGAAGGTTATTACCTCTCAAGCCTACAATACAGCCAGAACACCCCACAAGCTCTCAAAGCAGGGGGAGAGGGGGCAATAAACTTTTACAAGGTGTTTAATTTCAGGTTGTTCAGGAAGTGAGAGACTAGAAGGGGCTTTGTACATAACTGCAGGGAGCACAGTTCTAATTCCAGACAAGTAGAGAAACAGATTTCAGTAAAAGAGTGGTTTTGTATGACTGTCTCTTTGAACCAGTATTAGACCTACCTAGTAGTGGGTGTGGACTGTTTTTGAAAAAGCATCATCCCTCCCGTATTGTTTCAGTCCATTGATACATGTTTGTATAGCTTACAGATTTGCTAGATATCCTCTTTCTCACCATGCATAAATGAAAGATCAATCAATAACCGAATGCCAACTAACTTTATTACCAGGAGGTGTAAAATAAGTTTAGATAACATTTCACTTTTAAATGAATGGCTGTTAAAGTTCCAAAACAAAACCAGTCGTTGTTCTCCTGATGATCGAAAAAGCTCCATTAAGAATTGAGCCTAAGTCTCAGCCTGATAACAAGTGCAGTTATTCAGAAAGTCAGTTTCTCTGCGGGCAGGGGTCAGTCGGTTAAGTCAGAAATCAATTAAACTCTTTCTTCACAAGGGTAGATCTTTTAAAAAAACCAAAAAAGTGGGGAAAAAAGAAAAAAAAGGGTTGGAAAAAAAAAAAAAAACATTCCATTTAGTCAGTCTATCAGGAACTCAGCTATTTAAAATGGTGGGTTATGAATTGTGAAACTGGTGATTGATGCTCACGTTTCTCTCAATTCTTTGTTGTTTAGGAGATAACAAACTGGAATTTCAGTATCAAGAGATTCCTGTGAAGGAATTGGTGACCACTCTTGAAATTGTTTTTTCTGTTTTTTATTTCTAGCCCCTTCTCCTGTTACCTCAATTCAAGCTAAAGATATAACAAGACATACAGTCTCCCTCTTTTGGCAAGAGCCTGAGAGGACTAATGGAGTCATCCTGGAATATGAGGTCAAGTACTACGAAAAGGTAGGAGTCACAGGGCACCGTTTTTTAGTGTGCATTTAGAAAGTATTATGTTCTTAGAGAGTCCTGCATAAACAGTAAAGAAAACAACTAATGGGAACATGGTAATACTTAATTTTGTTAACATTTTGGCTAAGAGGAATTAACTTAACATCCTGTTCAAATAAAGGATTAAAAATAAATAAGGATTAAAGTAGAGATGCAAAACAAAGAAAGATAAATAAGGATAAAAAAATCCAAACATCTCTCTGCCTTCTGTGAGTCACTCCCCTGTAAAACACTAGGGAGAAAGCAGTTGCTCACAGTGCGTTTCTTTGTGGCTAATATATATATATGAAATACTGAAAATTCTGTGAGATGCATTGAGGGAATGTTGAGGCTAAATTTGTGACGTCTTTGTCAGGATCAGAATGAGCGGAGCTACCGCATCGTGAAAACAGCGTCTCGGAATGCCGAAATCAAAGGCCTCAACCCCCTGACGTCCTATGTGTTCCATGTACGCGCCAGGACCGCGGCGGGCTACGGCGAGTTCAGCAATCCTTTCGAATTCATGACCAACTCCGGTGAGTAACAGCGGACAAACCTGCTTACAGTTCATTCCACCTACACAGTCTGTTTTGAAAAGCAGCACGATGCGCTTTCTTACACAAAGATTAAGTCTGACCCAGAAGTTTTTTGTTTCTCCTTGTATCCCGCTGTTGATGTCGCGGAGGAACTCGCTGAACCGTAGTGCAGGGTTCAAGTTCTGTTGAATGTTTTATTACGTGAATATCTGCTTGAATCTTTTACTGTAAAAAGTGTATAACTGCTGTGGAAATGTGCCATTGCTCTGTGTTTCTACTCTTCGCTTTTATTACAGTTATAAAGGCCTTGAGGAGGAGAAAATGCCATTGTGTGCATTGCCTTAGTAACCTGGAATGGTCAGGTTGGGCCTTAAACCCAGCAGGGATGTCAGTCTAACCAGCAGTTGTTGTCTTGTGCAGTTCCGTCGGCCATCATTGGTGATGGAGCCAATCCCACAGTCCTGTTGGTCTCCGTGGCTGGGAGTGCTGTTCTCCTCATCATTCTCATCGCGGCCTTTGTCATCAGCAGGAGGTATGTCCCCAAGCTCCACTTTATTCGTTTATAGGCTGGGCTGTTTCCTACATTCCACTGTGGGAGTAGGAAAGGATGGAAAAAAAAAATCTTCGGAGTAAATTGAGGATTTGCATGAAAAAGAGCACGTTAGCATGAAAATGCTCCTTTCTCTTTCTGATGAAATTCTTCCTCAAGTCAGTGTGGAGCTCTCCAGAGGCCCTTGCAGCGATTCTCTGCTCTGTAAAGGGTGACAGCTTCTCTGTTCTTGGACTTTTGACGGAATGTAAACAGGGCTAAGCGATTAATTGTCACGTCCATTGCCAGTCCTGTGACAAAAATGGTTTCTGTTGCTTGTGTTTTCCACTGGGATGTTCTTTTCTGGAATGCTTAAACCGCATTCAATGAGAAAATCCTGCACATTGCAGTATCCAAGGAAAGTATGTCATAAGTCCTCAATTATAATCATTGAATACAAAAAAATGCTGACAAATACCATTGTAGTTGTTTCACTCTAGACCCACATACATACCGAGCTAGTTCAATTTGTTTGAAGTTGACTTTAAACACATATGACGAGAATACAGTAGTGTAAATGGGAAATTCATTGTTACATTGATGCCTGAGGCCTTAATGTTCCATCCATTCCTCCTGATGGTTTTATTATAAGGGACAAGATTGATTGCACGATACATTGGAATTTTAATTACAGACGCTTGCCTGAGACAATCAAGCAGGTCATCTGCCTCCGTACATCGCTTTTGCGGGGACGATGAATACAGCTTATGGACTGGGCCTCCATGGATCACTTTTTAGAAAATGAGATGTCAACCTCTAGGCCCTATATTGATTCTCTTTAGTGTGGGCTGTAAACCTGTCAAAGGGAGGAGCACAGCCCAGACTGCTACTTCTTTGCTCTTACACAGCTCTGATATTGCTATTGTTGTGTATCCGTCTTGTTCTGGAGGTGAGCTCCTATTTGTAATTCCATTACGTGATCACCAAGCATGTTGAAATCGGACTGAAACAGCATAACATGAGTGCTTTCTGCAGAAAAGATCGTGTTTATTAAGCAGTGCTCTCAGCAACGTTTCAGAAATTCCTTTCCCATTCAGCACAGCCGGCATCATTCAGTAACAGGTAGTTGTGTGACGTGTTACTGCTGTAATCGTGCTGTAATTTGCCCAATGGGAACTGCAGTGTGTGTTCACAGAAAACAGGATTCAAAAAATGGATTTTACAGGAAAATATCAAGTGCCATTATAGGAATAACACAGCAACTTAGTCAGCTCAGTAATCATCAACACTGGTCGGCTCTAATTAAAGCAGTCACTGAGGTCAATGATACGGGCAAGGAAAATGAAAACACATTTGGACTTTAACAAGGCTGTGGTTTTCACTGTAAAGCATTTCTTGTTCAATCAATAATTATGCCATTCTTGGAACTGGTTCTATTTTTACTATTCTTTCTGCACAGACCTTTTTTTTTGCTGCTGCTGAGTCTTACAAATATGCATTGCATTAATCTTGTCCTGATACTCTGTGCTTCTCTGCACATAGTTTTCAGTAGATGTTTTGCTTGATTATTATTGTGTAGTAATATGAAGGGAATGCACACTTGGTAAAAGATGATAAATTATACTTCAAGAACTTTATCCAAGGCTGTAAAATAAGAAAATAAGAATCACACCATTTTCATTGGCAAGGGTTTCTATAGTATTAACCAAAGTTATACTGAACAGAAGACACGAACAAAAGGCTTTTAATTTAAACACATCCTCTATTGTTCTGCAGTATTTCAAACATCCCCAACTTTTCATGTATTGGATCACTTCGGAATATCTTCTGCTTTTCACAATGAAAAGGCAACCTGTTACAAAGAGGCGTTTATAATTCCACTTGTTCTTAGAATAATTTAAAGCAGCGTGCACAACAAAGCATTCCCTTAACATTCAACCTCCGCCCTCCCATCATCATTACCTGATGTGTCTTTTGTGAAGCACATTGTAGCACATTGAAGCCAGGAGGAACCTGGGGAGGAGTGTACAGCCCCTGGGGCATTTCAGCAGTTTAAGCATTACTCCGTGTCTTACCTGGGACCCCCCTATCTACCGCCACCCCAACCCCTTTAATTGCCAGCAGAACACGACTGTCCTCCGTAAGCCCTCCTCGGGTTTTTTTGGTCAGGTGAACTGCCTTCTGGGATTTATTCTCCAACCCCCGGCAACCCCCCTGCAGCCATTTTGAATGGGCCACTGTGTGCTGTTAGTTTTCCTTTTGTGATTCTGTCCCAGAGAATGCTGCATGGTGCCCTGCTGCCTCTGGCCTCCCTGGGGTCAGCAGGTGACCGTGGAAAAGGTGGGGAGGATGGGAGGGGGTTTCTGCACTGGGGCTGTAATTAAAAGGTGGCATTCATCACAATGGGAATGTTTGAACAGTAATCTAGTGTGTAACATTTTCTCAAAGCAGGTGGTCTCGCATGATTTTTTTTTTTTTGGGGGGGAAGGGACTTGCATCTTGTTTTTTTTTCTCGTCTTTCCTTTTTCATTCATGTCCTCTCTGTTTTACACTTGCCCGAAGAATGCAAAACCACATGTTCTCCTCTTCTTAGACTTTTAGAGGTTTCCCACTTAGTTTCAGAGACGAGTTCTGTTTTTAAAAGAGCAATCACTAAGATCTTGCTGCGTGGCGTAAACATCTTTTCCATTAACTTTTTTTTTTTATTTCTAGGAGAAGCAAATACAGCAAGGCCAAACAAGACGCAGATGAGGAGAAGCACTTACACCAAGGTAATACTTGCAGTGCGTTATGGAAGAAAAAGAAATAGCAGTGATTAATGATATAAAGTAATATTATTGATGTAAACAGAGATCAATTGTGTAAGGAAATATTGGAGCCAATGCACAAGTAAAAATTGAAAGCATGTGTTGCACATTTATCATCTTGTCTAACAGGAGTTTTCTTTGGCAGGTGTTAGAATATATGTTGATCCCTTTACTTACGAGGATCCCAACCAGGCTGTTCGAGAGTTTGCCAAAGAAATCGATGCGTCTTGCATTAAGATCGAAAAAGTCATTGGAATTGGTAAGTAAAGAGATTTCTCCTTCCAAAAAAAACCTACCTACATCCTTACTTGCTTTCCTGGCTTTGACAGTTCTGGCTGTTTGTCATACTTGCAGGGGAGTTTGGAGAGGTGTGCAGTGGACGGCTGAAAATGCCAGGGAAAAGAGAAATCTGTGTGGCCATCAAGACCCTGAAGGCCGGCTATACGGACAAGCAAAGGCGGGACTTCCTGAGCGAGGCGAGCATCATGGGACAGTTTGACCACCCTAACATCATCCACCTGGAGGGAGTCGTGACCAAATGTAAGTGGAAACCTGAAAACCATCCGAACCAACCCACTAGAGGGCGAAGACCAAACGAAATCTGCACCTTCTTCCCTGGGAAAACAACAGATGGAGCAGATCACGTGATAGCTAATATGCACAAATCTGTGCGTTGTACCAGTCATTAATCTTGTTGTCATCTTTAAATGAGTTTATGGTTTAAAGCGATATCCTATCTCCAAGACAGCTTGCGCCCGATTTTGGTTTTACTGAAATGAATACCTGATGTGCATGTGTATGTGCCATGGGGTATATGTGTATGTGTTTTCAACTTTTCGTTCTTTCAAATCCATCTCGTACGTGTATGTTAGACTAGAAAGACCGTCAGAAGAAAGCAAGAGACAGATGGATAGACCAGTGCAATGTGTGTAACAGAAAGAGCTTTTATCTTTCTCTGAAGATAAGCTTGAGTTCTGTCATTCAAACTCATGTGAACAAGGGAGGTTCCACAGTTTTGATCATTATCTACATTGTGCCTACATAATAAAAGGATGCAGTTACTACAGAGCATAGAAGGGTACTTGCAGCAGCCAGTGTTGTGTGCAGGCAAATGCTGTCAGTTCCCACAAGTGGCAGGGCAGTGTGATGGCTGTGTTATTCTAAGGCTTAGCTGTGCAGCGCGGTCACAGTAATGAATTATTGAAAATAATGCCAGTATCTGTAAAGGAAAGTAAGCAAAGAGTAAGAACGGAGGAACAAATGCATGCAAACATTGTAGCTGTTCTGCTAATTTTTTTGTTGTTTTACATTCTTTGGTGAGATTTAGTTTTCATCAAACAAATTACCCTTTTACAGCCGAGTGTGTCGGTGGAATCTTTTAAAAATCCATTATTTTAATTACAAAAATCCGCACTGTATTAAAGGTGGCCTGCTCACCCGCTTTTAACGCTTTTACAGCGGGGGCAATTAAATATTTTTAATTGTTAATCGTGGTTAACACAGTCCTTTAAAAAAAAACAGTCTGAGGATGGGAGTAGGCTCTTCTTTTTTATTGTCCCGGCGAAACATTAAAAACCCACAACTGTTAAATGCTGTTTGAGTTGGAGGTGATAAATGGATTGGGTCATTTGCATAATGTAGCTACTGCTAAATTAAAATTATCATTCCAATTTCTAATATGAGGGAGCTGACCTATTGTGTGCCATTGTGCGCCTCCCAGCAGGCAGTTCTCTTCTATAATAGGCATGGCCTTCTGAAGCTTTGGCAGCGCCCAATCAGTGCTAGGTAATAAGGTATTCATCTCCTTCACTCCCTGTCTCATTTGCGATAGCTAGGATAAATTGACGTATTCAGTAAACAAAAAATTAAAATGCAAATAAGATGTGGAGGCAGAGGGCATGCATTTTCCAACTTGATTTTGAACTGTCGCTTCAGCAACTTTAGGCTATTGAGACTGCATACAAAGGTGGTACATAGTGAAGCTGTACTTTACAACTATAGAGGGCTTACCATTCCTTATGTATGCAGTTCTGGGCCTCTCTTTGCATTGTGTGCTGTGGGCTGATTTTACTCCCTCAAAAGCAGCACCCTATAAATCTAGAATCCTGCTAAGTAAAAGAAGATGTCTGAAAACTAGTGTCATAAATATAGTTCCAAATACGTGAGGAGAATACATCTGGAGGAGGTAATAAATCTTAATAACTGTGGTGACCAGAATTTTAAAAGAACAAAAATGTAATGACGGAATACTCAAATTCTTTTAGATCCGCCATCGCTTACAAAAGAGGATCTTTCTCCTGTCTGTTTTTTTTTTCATTTATCCGATATCTGTGTTCCAGGAAAACATTGCCGTACTGTGTGAAGCACATGGGTTGGTGACTGCAGTGTGTTAACTTAGTAAAGCGCTCCACAGAATGTGCCGGCTGACTTTAGAAAGCGAGGGATTTCAGCGTGCATGAGTGCCGAGGCAAATCATGAAGCCCCGCTGGGATTTTTTTCCAAATGAAATAAATTCCCTCCTCAGCAACACTAGCAAAGGGTTAATGTGGCAGATGGAAGCCAACACATTCCTAAATAATTCATCCAACAGAGGCACAAGTTTGGCATTTTTAATTAAATTAGACTGTACAAGACTGATGTAGTGCCAGTGCTACTGTGGGCTGCATTTTTTAATCTCATTAGATGAACTGTTTGCTACATAATTGTCTTTTTTTTACTCCCATTCCAGGTAAACCTGTAATGATCATCACAGAATACATGGAGAATGGATCCTTGGATACATTCCTTAGGGTAAGTCATCCATCAAGATGATGATATATTCCACTATTTTACATGCATGCGTTCCCAGCGAGCTAGATAATAATTCTCCTGGTACCAGATTTCTAAATGTGTACGACTGACTTTGTTAAAAAAGCCCACATGAAATGCTTAACTCCTTGAATATGCGATGGCAGAATCAGGATTAAACAGAAGAATGACAAGGTCATGTAGGGCATTTAGTGAATACTGTTAACTAGTAGTCATTCTTGGTGTTTTATAGAAAAATGATGGGAGATTCACAGTCATTCAGCTGGTCGGAATTCTGCGTGGAATAGCTTCTGGAATGAAGTACCTCTCTGACATGAGCTACGTGCATCGGGATCTGGCTGCTCGGAATATTCTGGTTAATAGTAACTTAGTCTGCAAAGTGTCAGACTTTGGGATGTCTAGGGTTTTGGAAGATGACCCAGAGGCAGCTTACACTACAAGGGTAAGATGATCAGAACATTATCTGTTTATCTCAGGTTACTGTATTTATGAGGAAATAATGATTACACAGCCCACAGTGGATATTACTGCCTACAGATGTTTCTCTGTACTTAGAAAATTTTCTGGCAAACACACTTAGATTTAAATGGATAGTGATGTCTGATATTTTTTTAAAAGGAAATAACAGGAACATATCAATCACAGGGTGGGAAAATACCAATCCGATGGACAGCCCCAGAAGCAATTGCATATCGGAAGTTCACCTCAGCCAGTGACGTGTGGAGTTATGGGATTGTTATGTGGGAAGTGATGTCATATGGAGAGAGACCTTACTGGGATATGTCCAACCAGGATGTAAGTCAGATTTTACGCACAATTTTTTAACCTCTTGCCTTATTGATTTTTTTCTTACTAATTTATTGCTGCAAAACTGGAAGGGCACTGAGTTTTTTTAATTAAAGTAGTAGGGGATTTTACTTAATCTGAAAGAAAATGTTAATTAATTCAGGAATGCCATGTAAGAAGCTGGGAGTTATCAAACTAAACCAGCATGAATATTGGATACGACTGAGAAATTGCTTGGAGAAATTAATTCAAATAGGTCAAAGCAAGCTAATATGCTTAAGAACTGTGTATTCTTTTTCAATTATTCCTCCTAAGAACCTAGCTTTCCTTTTGCAGTTTAGGGCTTCCAGTGAGGTACCTAGCGAGTATAAAAGTTGTTTTTCAAGAGCAGCTGGGAAGAGTGGGTTTTCATAAACGGTTCATACTGTCACTTAAATGAGTTAACGAATGCTAAGAAGAATACCGTTGTTTCAGCTTGTTGTCAGGCACCACTGTTTGAGTCCCAGGCCTTGCTACGTGTCTGAACCGTGCACTGTCTTCTCCTCTAGGTAATCAAAGCCATTGAGGAGGGGTACCGCTTGCCCCCACCTATGGACTGCCCTGTTGCTCTGCACCAGCTGATGCTCGACTGCTGGCAGAAGGAGCGCAGCGACAGGCCCAAGTTTGGACAGATCGTCAACATGCTGGACAAACTGATCCGCAACCCCAACAGCCTGAAGAGAACGGGCGCAGAGAACACAAGGTCACTAACGGGACACGTTTACTAACCGTGATGTATTGGAGACTCGATTGGATGTGACAAGCAAGCTGGAGCGGGCATAAATTGCTGTATTTACCAAATCATGTGCCTCGATCCTTAACAGATTGGGAAGTTGTGGCCAATTCCACTTCATACACAACTGATGAATTTCGATGAGCTCCCCCAGTGTAGCATCGGGAGAAGTTAGCCTTGGATTTTTTTTTTTCTTTTCAGTCGAGATAATTTATATAGATGTGGTCATTATTACAGGGTCCAATGTGTGATTTAGGTGCCAAAAGTCCAGTAGCCCTTTAAAAATGGAGTGGCTTACATTCATTTCATGACACCCGAAGAAGGCTCCAGCACCAAAACTGGTGTTTCCTTTTTTCTCTTTTCAAACCTCTCACTTGTTCCTATACATATTGCTTCTGAGGGAAGAGGACTTTATATTTCACATTCCAAAGGGATAATGTTGTAATTTAACCCTTTTTCAGTACACGTGGCCAGAAAAATCTTAATGCATAAGAACCAAAAGCCAATTAATTATGTACATATTAACAGAAATGGAAATGGTGAAGTGGATCTTCTTTAAAATCATAACTTTTGTGTCGTAAACTACGTCACTTTCAGATCATAACACGATCAATAAGCCATGGTCTAGCCATGTGGCGCTACGTATCTCCTGAGTAGATTTTGCAAGACTTTATTTGATAATTGCTACTCACAAACAGAAGCATTAATTTCCATCGCTTCTACTCTCTGTTTACTTTATGTTCAATACATAAATGAGGTCATTTCCATATCCAACCCAGATTGGGTCATTATATCCTGGTTTCCATGGCGTTATTAGGCGATCCATTAGCCTTCGATTTCTCCCCTGAGCAGGGGGCTGGTCCATTGCAGGGATTACCCCCAGCGATTCTGGTGCCTGTTTATATAGTTGGGTGGACTGGTGCAGTCAGGCATGAACTACCTCACTCAAGGTTCAACACCATTGTCTGCACTAGAGACATGAAATCACACCCTACCAGTTAAGAGACCACAGACTTGCCCAATGTGCTGCGCTGCTAATACGATATGAGAAGATGAATAATTATAATTGGTTACTCAACACAGCGTTGCAATACTAAGTGATACTTAAAAAGAAAGGAATAGTTTCTGTTTTAAAAAATGAAGTGTTATTCTAATAAATATATATATATGACTGATGCTCAGCTTAAATTGTATGTGTAATCAGGAAGCAATCCATTTTCCTAGATGGAACAAGTAATAGGTTTATTCCATGCTGAAAAAAAGAAGAAAGAGAACACAACGTTTCGGCCGTGGAGCCTTCTTCAGGTGTAGAAAAATCATTTTCCTAGATGTATTTGTGAAGGGTAACTGAAAAGTCATAAGAGCATAAGAAAGGTGACAAAGAAGAGGAGGCTGTTTGGCTTATAGCCTGTTTGGTGGATAAATATGAAATGTCTTGTAACACCCTTGATTTGCATTCACAGACCCAACACGACACTCCTTGATCCCAGCAGTCCTGAATTTTCCTCACTGGGGTCTGTGGGCGACTGGCTTCAAGCCATCAAGATGGAAAAATATAAAGATAACTTCACTGCCGCTGGGTATACCACTCTGGAAGCTGTAGTACACATGAACCAAGAGTAAGTACAGTTTCGGAACATGTTGTTTAGTCTACCTTGTGATTACCAAGCTTTGAATTTTGCTTTGTTTATTATTACAGAACATACAAAAAAAATGGCCAGTATTCAAGGCCAGCTATACTAAGAAAACACAAAGGGCCTGTTCAAAGAAGGCCTGGTTAATTGGGCTTTTATAATCCCTACATTAAACAAATTTGAATCTAATTTTCCATATTTTGTTTGTTTCCATATAAACAGGGACATGGGCAGAATTGGAATTACTTCAGCTGCACACCAGAGCAAGATCCTGAGCAGTGTCCAAGGAATGCGGACCCAAATGCAACAGATCCAAGGACGAATGGTTCCTGTCTGAGCCCATAATTAATAAAAACTCAAAACTTTTTTTAAGAAAAACAAATTAGTTTACCTCATCCATGCACTTTAATTGAAATAAAAGAAAAAATGGCACTTTTACAACTTCATCCCTGCCCTTTGATGTTAGGATATTTTTGTTTGAAGCATTGTTTGTTTGATGACAGCGTTCTGAATTTAAGGGCCTTAATGGAGTGCCTACAGCATAATGGTGGAAGGCGAACATCATTCTCTTTTTTGGCAATTCTTGAACTTTGGCGAAGAACCATGGACGTGATTTTATAAACTGTTCAAATATTTCAAATTTGCTGCCATACGTTGTCTACAGCTGAACTTTAATCACTGTTATGTCTGTTGGGTGAACTGCAAAAAAAGCAGCTTTTTTAAAAAAAAAGAAAGCATTTCCTCAGGATGTCACAAAAAATGTTTTAGATCTGATCGGAAATAGTTGCCAATTCAGTACAACGAGGTCTTCTCCTGAGCAGAATCTGCTTTCATGATGGAATTCTGGGACCTGCATCCAAAGTTGCAAAGTGTTTGATCGAACATCACTGAACATGCCCGTCGACTGCTGGGGAGAAGAACAGTTGTCTGGGCCTCACAATTGGAAAAACAATTAAAACAAGAAACTCTCGGTTTCAGCCTTTTGCAGCTTTTTATCAAGTTTTACCGTCACTTCAAATGACCACTAAACATTCCTGCAAGAGTGAACTGTTGCATGTTGGTGAAAAATATCTTGCCTTACTCATCTGAAAGAGCCATCCTTGTTGCATTATGGTGAGCATTAAACGTACCTCGCATATCTATCTTTTATGAAAAGTGCAGATGTAGACTAGCCAAGAAACCTAGCTACGAAAACATCAAAACTCTACTGCTTTGCTATGGCTGTATTATCCCTAGGGGAGCTATCTCTGTTAGAGTGAATGTATCCCTGAATTGAGCTAGAAGCACTTACAAGTTGTAAGGAGAATGGACTATATTTTTGTGGGAAATGATTGCACATCATTTATAACTCGTTGCAATGTTGTTATTATTTTTAGTTGTAGTAGTTTATATTTTGTGTTAACAGGGAATTGAACATTTTAGTTGGCATGCCACTTTCTTTTGAGTTAGAACGTTTTGGTGCCAGTGTGTTAGTTCATAGTAATTTAAGTCTGCATTTAAAGCTAGGAAAAGTCTCTTAAAAATAAGGGAGGAGGTTGCACTACAACATTTCCTGACAAATAGAGTCGGCTCACAATCAGGAGTTCAGTGTTCTAAAGTGGCGTTTTTAATTTGTTCTAGAGCGTAGCTTTTTCATGAGATATGGTGCTAACGTCCTACCTTCTTAAAACTCGTTTTCACTGTGAAACATGAAACATTGCATCACACTGGATACATCCAGGTGTTCTGGGATGACGGATACAGAATGCTAATGACTGTGTCTATGGCTTTGGTTTCCATTTTAACAGCTCCATTCCTCTTCAAGTCATTGTGTGGTGCTTTGTATTGCAAAGCAGTGGTGTGTATGCAGTCTATCTTGTGAAAATCCCAAACTGCAGTGCCCACAGGGATTAAAATGAAGGCAGGCTAAGCTTCATAGATCCACTAATGCACTAAATTTAGGAGTTACAGAAAAAGAATCCTCAACATGTCGTAAATTTAAGGAGGAGGGATCAGCTGAGAATCACCTAATGACTGAATGTTCTGTCCTGTAATCTCATATTATTTAAAACAAGAATAGTCTTTTCAGGCTGTATTGTTTTTTGTTAAGAGAGTGATAGTGCATTATTCAGAATATAGTAAAACCTTAAGAAAATATTGAACACTTAGCCAGAGACCAGATTTTAGATTGGTTGTCTAATACAAAGTGGTTAGGCTGTAAACTGTATCCTCTACACCTGAGCCCTGTTTTCTTGAGGTCTCCCTCCCCTTTCACTATCTGTGCTTTCTATGCCAAAAAATAAAAGTAGCTGATTTTAATGTATTTTAATTTGTAGAGGTAAGGTACCTCCATAGACTTGAAATATCAAGTTTTTTCTCATTTACTAGAAACTATACTGTGTCATTTAAACAGCTCAGAAATAACACGTTTCACAAAATTATTTCACTATAACATAATTATAGTGTTTCAGCCTGAGTAATGATTATTAATTAAGGAGTAAGTGGTCATTTTCTATAGATTTCAGTATAGGGCTTCCTCACAATGATTTTCGTAATTGCAAAATAAAATAATATTCAGCTGACATTTTGTTTAAACACACAAATATAACAAGTGTATTAGCAGATAAAAACAATTAAGACCAGTCAGTAATGGTTAATTATTATTCAAGAGTTATGCAAATGAAGGAGTTTACATTGCAATTTAAGGATTTAAAGGTCAGGTTTTATTAGTAAGTTTTTTTGAATATGCAACCCTAAAGGATCCGTTTTCCTTCTTTCCTGCAGTTTCTTTCAGGAGAACTAATCTAACTGCCTGACCCGATGAAAGTCACAACCCTATCTCAAAACAGGAAAAAATACATTCAGCAGTGGAGTAAGAAGTATTTTCATTCCCATTGGAATCTGCTCCACATTGCAGTGGATCCCGGGACAAAGCAAGCTACTGTGCAGGCTTGCTACACGACTTCCCAAGAGGCCTGAATTCAGTGTCTGGAATCTTTTTCTTAAAAGAAAAAACTACAGAGGAATGTAAAATAATGGAAGGCAATCCTTCAGTCTCCCCAAATTTTGTTTTCGTTGTGTTTTTTATGTTGCATGTCAATGCTGCGTTTGTATGTGACCAATATCTTCAAAGTGCTGTAGGTAAATCTAGGTGTGTCAGACCTTTTATTCAATAATAATTATAATAATAAAAAAGATTCTGAGTCTTTGTCACTCAAAGACATATAGGTACAGTTCTTGGAATGATCAGTATGTCCATGAGCATCATTAAAAAAGAAAGGCTTGATGGGTAGTGATGGCATCAAAGTGAGCTTCAGCTGTCTTCAGATTATTTTAAGTACAATGGACCTAAAGCTGAGCTAGCTGGACAACTGACAGAGTGTGCAACTTTCATCTTGCGCTTGCAGGATGGTGCTCAAATTCAGATGAAAATGGGTTTCTTCAGGAAAAGAGTTCAGCTTTTCCTTTGCGGAATGAGACGAGTATGTACTTTAAACTTACTGCAGGAATGTTTTCAAAAAGGGAATACCGAAGGACAGCGAGTGTTTTTTGTTCTTCCATGTGTACCAAATGTTTCTTGATCTGTTTCCAAGTGTTTCGGGGTTTTTTTTGCATCCAACAATAGCCACACCTTTCAAAGCCAATTAATATGAATGAGAGTTACATCTTAATTATGTTTGATTGTTTTAATCCTTTTAAGGACCTGTTTGGAATATGCAAGGACTGTTGGGGGAGTAAAATAGAATGTACTGTATGATGCATTTTAATTTAGTTTATTACAGAAATCCTAACAATGTTTTTTTTTTTTCATTGATGTTGTTTGCATTCAGATTTCAGATGCCAATTGAGCTAGACATATAGATTAACTTTTTTATTTGTTTTTTTTTTAAATTTCTTTGTTTTGATGATTTTTAGGTACATGTAACTTATGTCATTTATTTATGGTCTTTTATACCTAGTTTGTAAATTGTAAAATAATAGTGAAAGGAGAGCAAAGGAGTGCAAAGTGCATTCTTAATAAAGTAGATACTGTATAAAACCTCTGTCTTCATCTGCATTTGATTTATAGGTTGTAAGCTGTGTGAATGGAAAATATTGTGTAATTTTAAACAGCACTTCAAACAGTATTTCTGAAGGCAGTTTGTAAAGTGGGTTGTAATAGCCTATGTCTTGTTTTCATCATAGTTTTTTTACAAAAGTAAGTTGTCATACTACCACATCTAATTGATTTAAACTTGTGTTACACAAGGGGGTACACATCTCTGTTGGTGCTGCTTTTGTTATTTAGCAAAGCTTGTATCCTAGCTTAGATCTTTTTCTTCCCTTTGAAAAACCAGCAGCCTTTTTACCTTCTAACAGAAAATGCACACTGTCAGTTGCTCGTGTTTAGTTTACTTACGTAAAAATTCAGACCAAACATAGCTAGGATATATTTTCAAACACATTGCAGGTCATAATGTCGCCATGTTATGTGTATTTTGTGCTGATTGCAATACACTGTCTGTGAAACAGACTTGGCAACAGGAACAGATATGTACACTCGATAATCAAGAAGTGTTTATCCTCGCAGTGTGCAGTCCACTGAAACACAGGTCAGGGTTTGGCTGGCAGCTGCTGCTTTTGATCACATTTCATTTATAATGAATGGACCACATTTAAGTTTTCGATTTCTGAGCCCTTGTACTCAGAATCTGATACCTGTCGCCCAGTGACTGTTTAAATGAAGCCAAATTAAATAAATCTTCGACCTTTCCCCCTTGCGTGCACACTTGAAATATTTATTTACTAGTATATACAGCTCCACAAAACCCCATGCTGATTAACTTTTGCAACAAGATCCATCAAATCTCGCTTTGGCAGACATCACAGTTCCATCTTAAAGAAGCATCACTCTTGCTTAAACTCTTGACATCGATTGCGATACCAGTCGTTCACCGTGACATGTACATTTATGCTCATTCATAAAAATGATGTAGAAATTGCTGTATGGATGAAAACACATGACAAAAGCATTCAATGCAGGACTTTTAATGGATTTGTAAGGCTTGTGTTATAAAAATCAGAATCATCAAACTATCATCCATAGGTTGGATCCTTACAATCGGTCTGCTTTGGCTTTAAAAGCCCAAACCTATGATTGTAATACATTTTTCTGTTATTTGTATCATAAACAGGTACAAAATAGATAAAGCTTTAAATATTAAAATGCTTTTGTTGGTAAAGTGCTACCCTTTTGTTTTACTATATAGTGAAGCCCAAATTATAAATAACCATAACTCCCTAAATTCCCATGAGGATCTCAAAAACCTGACTTAAGATTCACAGAGGGCACATTACTGACTGCATATATTTGAGAAAAATTATTAAAATAACATTTGAATAAGGTATTGCACGTGAGGCCTTTTAAGATTTGTAATCTTAAAGCACGTGCCTATGTTTTTTTATCCCAGCAAATGTGAAATGCTCAGAGTTTTGCTTTATTAAAATCTGTTCCCTTGACAAGCACAGGAGGAATATTTATTCATAAAATGTATAGATTCTTGAGTAAACAATATGAATTATGTGCTCTGGTGTGAACAATAATTTTACTTGAATACATTTTTTATTACTTAACAATATTGTGCCTGAAAAGCAGCTTTTGTCTGTGAGTTCTGTGTTGTAGCTAGGAGCAATGTGCTGATGTAATTACATTGGCACACCCTTATAATTTTCTGTGAAGGCAAATCAATACCAGTAATGTTACTCAATTTTGTGATTTATGTGTATGATCAAGAAGGAACAATGATTTCTGTGCCTTTCAAACATTCCAGGTAGCTTATTTACTATATGTGCAGGTTTATTTGCCCAGCACATCAAGATGTATATTTCCTCAGTAATACTTACATTTCATGTCATTTCCCCAACAAAACAAACTTTACTTCAAGATTAAGTTAATTAACTAATATGTTTATGTATTTCCTTACCCATAATACAAGATCTCTTTTTACCAGTTTGTAGACACTGAACACTTCCATTTGTTATCTAAAATGTGTGCTTTACATTTCACAAAGATTTTATGGCACAGACTCAGTATGATAGAGAAAGATGCAGTAACAGCAATTACATATATAAATGTAACTAATCATACTTCTCTTGTAGAATGAATAAAGTAGGTATGTTGACTCTCAAGGCACAATTGTATATACATATTTGCATTATAAATGCAATAGTCTGTAAATGCTTGGAAATAAATAGGTACTCACAAAGTATGTTATACTACATATATCTGCAAGGACTATGTATTGAAAATGTAAAATTGACATTGTGCATAATTCATTGATTACACTGAAAATAAAACTGGTACAAGTACAGTTTACATATGAAAAGTGTTTTTCAGCAAGAAAACTCTTAACATTTCTGACATTTCAGAGATTACAGGATGAGAGAACAGTAAAAGCAAATTAGTTTCTGCTTAAACCACAAAGAATTTAAGACTATTTCTTAAGATATCTCTCCTATATTAAGAAACCTATTAAAATAGCACATCAGATTGATTTAAATTATATACATTAGATGTTTTTCATGATGAAGCGAGTGATCTTCTCAATCCAACAGACCTTCAATTTACACCTCTTCTACTGAATTTAAAAAAAAAGTCATATAAATCACAAGGAGTAAAAAAAAATCCTTTCAAACGAAACTATTCACATAAATTGCTCAGTCCTGTTTCAGATTGATCTTTGATGCAGATTACCTTAATTTCCATTTTTATTTCAGGATCAGTTATGTCATTTTTAGGTTCGCAAAATTAATGTCCTGTGCACTTTTAAACACAGTATTCCTATTGTGTGTGCTAATATTGCGTGTCCTCTCTATACTGTATGTTACAATCTTTAAATACTCGCATGTAAAGATGCGTGTACACACATGCATTCATAAACAAGTTTTTTTCTCCTGTTCTGCCACACCTACACCATGATGCAATCTCCATCCATTTTCTCACACACTAAAACAATAGATTAAGAACATTATGATCAAGAACATAAAAAAGGTTGTAAACAAGAAGAAACGATACGGTTCTTTGTATTATCTGGTGGGCTAGTAGCTCAGTGAATTTAACTTTCATCCAGGCATTTCCTGGAGTCCAGAGCGTAGGTCCTGTCTTGTCACCCATATTTCTTTGAATAAGGAAGTGTTTCCTATTATATAATTAGTTTCCAATTGGAATCCTGAGTCTTTGTTCACTACTGAATATCCAGTAGGTTTACTTTGTCTATGCCCCTTAGGAATTTAAATGCTTGGAATATAATCGTCCAGTTCTCTGGATTTAGCTCCTTTAACTTGTTTATACTGTAAATGACAACCCCCTGTTATCAGTCTTTTTGTTCTTCTTTGAACTCTTTCCAAGGCTACAACATCCTTGTCTTTAGAATGGTTTCTAAAACTAGCACTATTTCTTACTGGTGTGATGAAAAGCTTAAACATAAGTTCTTTTTGCTATAAAGTCAAGCATTTTTTATTGTTTTCTCACACTGTCTTGATGAGGACAAAAGTTTCTGTGTTTGACACTCCCCCTATTTTTTGATTATCTGCAAATTTAACTGGTTTGTAACTATACCAGAATCTAAATCGTTAATATGGAACAGGAAGAGCAATATACCTAAAACAGATCCCTGTGGTACACCACTGCTTACATCTGCTCAGTTAAGGGTTATATCCCTATGTCATGCTGTTTCCCGCTGACTGATTCTTGATTGTGAAAACACCCTTGGATTTTTACGCCTTTTAAATTGAGGATGGACTTCATCTGAAGGAACTTTCAAAAACTTTGTGGACATGTTATCATGTTGTGCATGTTTGGATGTTTGAA